AGGAGTTGTGGCTACGGGTGGAACGGCAGTGGTTCCAGAAGGTTTTGTTTCCGAAACCCCAGCAGCGGGTTTGGGTTTTGCTTCAGAATCAGGTCCAGGCGTCAACTCTACAGTCTTAGTTCCAGAAGCAGAAGCAGGACTTGCTCCAGAATCTGTAACGCCCGAGACAGGAGTAGTGGTTTCCTTGGGAGTCGAGGAGGAGGTTGTACCTGATTCTGACGCAGAACTTGTTCCGGTAGTGGTCGCACCTTTTCCAAGTTTTTCCTCTCGTTCTTCTGTTCTTCTCTTGTCACCAGCAATACTGGTGACAGCTTCAGTACTTGTAGATGTTGTTGCAATAAGGTCCTCATCTTCATGTTCTGTCCCTTCAGTTTTTCCAGTGGTTGATACTGTCTCAGCACTCTTCCCTGGCTCCCTATTCTGCTTACTAACAACGGTTGTCGTTCCACTAGAAACGTTCGGTTCCTCTCCAGATCCAATTTCTTCGGTCGTCGTGGGTATAGCAGATGTGCCCTTCCTCCGTATTCCATCCTCAATCACATCGGCACCACTACCGTCGGTTTCCACCTCCACGCTGCTTCCATTCTTCGGTTGTGCCTAAATAGGGAAGTATCGGGAAAGTCTAGATAAGGGCATATTCCACGCTAGTTGTGTGGGCGGAGGCAGTCCACCACTGTGCGTTGCTAGTTGGCGCGCCCTTCCTGTTTACTGCCTTGGACGAGAGGGCGCACCAGCGAAAGTGGCACAGTGGAACGCCTACGCCCTTGCAGGCGAGCGTGGGATATGTTATGGAATTGCGAAATATCAGAATCATTCATTTTTGGCACCACTTCTTTGCAATTCGTCTGAATGCGCCTTCACAGGGAGATTAGTAGTCTAGAAACCCCCACGTTATTTTTTAAAAGGTCCATAATCAAGGGCCAATGCTAGTCCTGACCTGCCTCCTTTTGACAGCGATTGCGAGACATAAAATTTATCTGAACAACTACAAGCACTAAGATAAAAACCGTCCAAATCCCGATACTCGTTACCAAACGAACAGCGCTTACAGTTGCCGCAGCGATTACGAACGAAATTCCGCGTATCTCAAAAGGTTAGTCAACGTAGTAAACCTATCTTAGTCTTTGGAAACACATTCCGCGATAATCGAGTGGGCGGAGACTCACGAACATTGAACTTCGCATATTGTTTATCTTTTTCTACCAAATAGGATTTCAAATGAGATCTTTATTTGGCCATCGACTATACCGCTTTCTTCAGAATTCTGAAAATTGCTCAAAGCTCTTGAGTCCTTTCCGCCACGCAAGGTCTAATAACGACACCATCTGAAGAACTTGCAGAAAAACAATTCAGCACTCAGCAGAGCTTTCAGCGGAAGAAACGTCTAGGTTTTTGTGCTTCCCGCCCCGGCGCGCTCCTCCTCTTTGTCAGTTGAGGAGAAGTGCACCAATGAGAAAGGCGCGACGGTTATGAGTTCTAGCCCATTTCTCCTCCCATCCGGTCATCGCGGAATGTGTTCTCAGTGTGGGTAGAAGCTTACCGAACCATTGACTAACAATAAGACAAGCCTGAGGTTTTTTTGAGAGCTCAATTGATCCAACTTGGCCCACGAAAAAGTTGTGGAACCTGTCAAAGAAATTCATATATCAGTAGTTAACTCACCGATGTCGGAGTACTCGAACCAAGAACTGGTATTTCCGTGATGGGAATTGAAGTGGTGAAAGTGGACGCTCCACCAAGGGTCGAGATCACACCCGGCAATGTGACAGTAATAATAGGTTCGACGGTTGTTGACTCCGGTGAGATTGTGGTCGGCAATGGGAGTTCTCCCAAAGTGACCTCTGAAATGACTCATATTAGAATCTTATGGACCTCTAAGAAAAACATGCGGAACTCACTCCTGTCGCCAGGCTTGCCACCAGAGATTTCCAGTCCAATTTCGCCTTCTTTCGGTTTCGTATCGAAGATATCGCTCTTGATCTTGTTCTTCACGATCAAGATCTCGCCTCCAGAGAAGTTGCGCACCTTGAAAATTGTTGGTTTACTGCGAGGAAATGCCTGAGGACCTCTACAGACACATTCCGCGATGATCGGATGGGCGGAGACTAACGAACACTCTGCACTCCTCATTGGTTAGGAGCCAACAGTTATTCGGGTCCTCTTACGTAGAGGAGCCCACCAGTGGGGAAGGAACAGTGACTGTGAGACTCCGCCCATCCAGTTATCGCAGAATGTATCTCCAAAAAGCCCATTGGCGTTAGCTGGAAAGGTTTTGGGTTCACAACTACCTCATGAATGCTTTGCGATATGGTTTCACCACCGGTCGATTCGTTTATAGAGACGCAGCTAAGAATGTCTCG